TTGTTTAAATTAATTAATAAATTAATTAACAATTTATTTATTTTTTTATATTTGCAAAATAATAATAGAATTCATATACCTATTTGTTTAAAATTGATTAATTATTTATTTGATTATTTATATTTATTTATTTTTATTAATTTCATTATTTATAATTTATTTATTTTTATTGTTTATTTTCTTCGTTTTATTAGTTATAAATTATAATTATAAATTAATTATAAATAATTATAATATTTTATTTCTTTATTAATTTGTTTATTAGTTCATTTGTTTATTTATTAGTTAATTAATATTTTGGAAAAATTATTTAAACATTTGCTAAATTATTTATGTTTATTTAATTGTTCTTCTGATTTTGATTTGTATTTGTTTTTTTGTTACATTATTTATTTGAAGATATTTTATTATTTATGTATTTGTTTACTTATTTGACTAATTATTTATTTATTTATTTATTTATTTATTTACAACACCAGTTCCCGCAGTCCGCAGTCAATATTAATTAATTAATAATATTTAATAATAAATAAATAATAATTATAATAAATAAATAATTAATTACTTAATAATAAAATAAATAATTTCATTAATTAATTAACAATAAAAACAAATAATTAAATTAATTAATTAACAATAAAAATAAATAAAACCAAAATAAAATTAAAAAAATAATAAAATTCTTAACTTTGAGTTTAATTTAAACAAAATAATTGTTTACAATACTTTTTGTAAATTTTCCAATAAAGTTCCTGAGGTTTTTTTTTTTTTTATTGAAATTCACTTTCGAATATAATGAGAAATATATATATATATATTTAATTGATATTTGAGATATACATTAAGGCACGTAATTTCTAATTGCTACGAGGGAAAACACTTAACTGACCTTAAGATATGTTTATGACTCCGGAAAATCGTTTCACTGAATCAGTTACGCTTTTACGTTGTGCCAACATATCGGTGAAAATCTCTTGTCAACATTGATCCATTATAAAATATAAATACAATATATGAAATTACGAGATCGATTTTAAAATTCTTGTTTATTGTATAATTTTACTAATTTTTTTACTGATCAACTTTTTTCTTCTAATAATATTTTCGAAATCTTATTGTTATATTAATAAATTTTTTATTTAATAATAATTATTATATTAATAAATTATTAATAATAATTATTACATTAATAAATTATTAATAATATTTATTACATTAATAAATTATTATTTACTACTAATTATTATTAAATAATTAAATAATAATTATTAATTAATAATAAGTGAATAATTATTGTTATATTATTTATTTAATTAATTTGTTTATTTAATTACTATTATTTATTCACATGTAAACGGGCTTATAAAAAAGAAAAATGCGCCCTATATGAATATTATTATTATTATTATCATTATTATTATTATTATTATTATTATTATTACAAAGTAATATAATTACTGTTATATAATTTATTGTTTTATTATACAATTATTATTATATTGCTATTATTATCTTTATTATTACCAGTGATTTCTACCAGTGATTTATTCTCCTGCAATCACTTCCTGCTTTTTCCGATTTACTTCCTCCCCCCCCTCCTAAAACCCGAGGTCATTTTGACCCAATGAGCTGAAATTTGGTACAAAATTTTTTATTCCCCTTTTTTTCACACAATTTCAAATCATTTCCTTTTTTTTCTTAAATCTTCTCTAAAATTTCTGATCTCAATTGCAAAGATACTTCGAGTTCCACAAGAAAACTTGTGTGAATGAAAGCAAACTACATTCCAATTACCATATAAATACATAAACCATTTTCTGTCCATATATAAATAAAATGAAATTATTCCAAAAACTAATGGAAATGAAAATTTTTTTTTTGTATATGAAACCTAAATACCATCTCGCGGAAGTCGCGTGGCAGGTTTTGCATATAGAGTTGCAAAAGCGCCGTTGGGAGGTGAAACAAGTTAAAAGAGAGAGAAAGAGAGAGAGAGACTTGTCGGGAAAAGGCGCGAGATTGAGTCTCATAGCGCGGGAGGAGGTCATGTTCGCAGATTCGCACAGCACGGATGCTGCAAGGGGTTCCATATAGTAGATGCGATGTATATATATAGAGAGAGAAATACAAGTCTTGTGAGGATCAGTCGCGCGGGATTCTTAACATGGCCCAGTGACCCGAATAACCCAATGGTTAACTTTATAATCGAACTCTCGCTTCCTCTCTCTTTCGCCTTCGGTCTTTTCGCCGATCTTTATCCCTCATTCTCACGCAAGATGGCGTTTGTGTATTGAACCTAAAAGAGAGAGAGAGAGAGAGAGAGAGAGAGAGAGAGAGAGAGAGAGAGAGAGAACTAAAAAAGCCCCTTGGGCTTCACGAAGACGTTACTCATGATCATCAAAGACCTCCCTCGCCTTCAAAAGAAGAAGAAGAAGAAGAAGAAAAAGTGAAGTTCACCTCCTCCCGCCTTTTTCTTTGCCCCCTTTCAAAAATCTTTCTTTCTTTCTTTCTTCATCTTATTACTTGGATCTTTCTCCGCCTTTTCTTTATATATATATATATTCTCTTTCACACTCTCTGTGTGATGCGCGCCCCTTAATTATCCCCCTTTTGATTTTTTTTTTTTTTTTTTTTTTTTATTCGATTTTTCTTTATAAGGTTCTCGCGAACCTGTCGGATGATTAATAGTACCAAATGCGTTCTAATTAAGCACCGAGAGAGGATTTAAGTTCCTCGTTACTCTTGTGATGCACTTGCGTTCAAATCGACCCGAATTTCTACAATTATACGCCCCCAGGACTTGTTACGCCCTCTTTGGAAAAAAAAAAAAAAATTTATTTCCCACTTTTGCATCTGATATTTATGTGGTTTATTGCAAATCGTTTTTTTTTTTTTTTTTGATAAGTTACAATGATTTTTTTTTTAATTGCGATATTTTTTTTTTCTTTTTATTTGCGTGAAGGGAGTGTGGGAAAAAAATTTTTTTATTGAAACAGCAAAAGGTTTCACTGTACAGTGAAAAAAAATTTTGTTGATTTAAATAATCGATTGGGTGTAAAATAAATGAATATAAAAAATTTTAAGTAAATAAATATTTACTTGTAACTAATTTTTTTATTTGAAAAAAAAAGTATACTTGACTATTATCAAATAATTTTTTATTTCAAATAAATTATTTAAACATTGTTAAATAATTTTTATTTCAAAAAAAAATTTTCTTGACTATTATAAATTATTTTTTATTGCAAATAATAAATTATTATTCGTAATAATTATTTATTTATTAACAAGTAGATTTTTTTTTTTAAATAAAAATTCCCCTTCTCCTGCCGGTCAAAAATTAGAGTATAATTAAAAAAAATGCAGTACAATTAAAAAATATAATATAAAAAAAATAATAATTTTAATTATAGTGAAATAATAATCTATTAAAAAGGAAAAAATAATTAATTTCTCCTTCATAGGGAATGACTGTTTTCTTCTTTTTAAAAGGATACGAGGCTTTTATCAGTAAAGGCAGATTCTTCTGACGATTTGTCATTTGTTGCAATATTGTTTGTCCATATGTAGAAATGATATATGATCCAAAGGATCAACCATACAATTTTTTTTTTTTTTTTTGTTTTTTTTTAAGGACCATCATTCGACTCCCATAAATAATTTCTCTTCCTCTTGCCTTCAAAAAAAAGAAAAAAAAAAAAATTCCTATGAAACAACCACGTGCGCTCGCGATCCACTCTTAATTACCCAATTCAGAACCAATTTCTTTCTGCATATCGATCATTCGCCAAACGTGTTATGATTCGAGACTATAGAACTCGTTTCGAACCTGTTGAATAATTTTTTTTTCTCTGCTTTTTGTTATACATTCTCGGTGAAAGAATTTAAGAAATTTTATATATATATGTATTGTTAAAATTAGTAAAGTTATGTAAAAAATTTATTTTTTTTTTTTAGAAATTATTTGTTTATACGTAATAAACACGAAAATAGCCCTTTCGTACAAAGTACTCCTGTAATTACTCTTATAATTAATTATAATTAATTAATTATTAATTGAAATAATTTATTATTACTAATAATTAGTACCAAACATTTGTGGTACCAAACTATGGTGGTACCAATCAATAGTAGTACCAATCTATGATGGTACCAATTAATTGCGGCACCAAACTATGGTGGTACCAAAACTATGGTGGTACCAAATTATGGAGGTACCAAACTATGGTGGTACCAAATTATGGAGGTACCAAACTATGGTGGTACCAATTAATTGTGGTATAAAACTATGGTCGTGCCAAATTATGGAGGTACCAAACTATGGTGGTACCAATTAATTGTGGTATAAAACTATGGTGGTACCAATACATTGTGGTACCAAACTATGGTGTTACCAAACTATGGTAGTACCAAACATTTGTGGTACCAAACTATGGTGGTACCAATCAATAGTAGTACCAATCTATGATGGTACCAATTAATTGCGGCACCAAACTATGGTGGTACCAAAACTATGGTGGTACCAATCTATGATGGTACCAATCTATGATGGTACCAATTAATTGCGGCACCAAACTATGGTGGTACCAAAACTATGGTGGTACCAAATTATGGAGGTACCAAATTATGGAGGTGCCAAACTATGGTGGTACCAATTAATTGTGGTATAAAACTATGGTGGTACCAATACATTGTGGTACCAAACTATGGTGGTACCAATCAATAGTGGTACTAATCAATAGTGGTACCAAGCTATGGTGGTAAATTAGTAATTGATAAATTATTTCCTACTATTAATTATTACAAATTAATTACAAAATGATTAATTAATAATATATTAGTAATTATTATTCAAGAACTTATATATTATTATCAATTTGTAAGGTAGAATAAAATTGATAAATATATATAGGAAATTCTTTTAATTAAAATTATATAAAAATAATTATTGATTTAAAAGAAGAAGAAAATTTAATTGTGACTGCGGTTTTTTGTTACAGATTTTGTCCTGGCTTTGTAAAAAAGGTGAAGACATTCTTTCAAAACACGCTCAGCACGCGGCTTCAACACTTACAACTGCACGAGACCACGAGAGGGAATTTGAAAAGTTTTACTTCACGTCCATGGTGAGTAACAAAAAAACAAAAATTTTTTCTTCTATTTTTACTGATTTTATTGTCATTTCTTTTAAAAATTAATCAAAATTTTCAAATAATTTATTATCGAAAACCAAACCAAACCCACTATTAACAGACATTTAACAAAAAATTGAATTAACATTAATTTAAAAAAGCGAATACAGAAAAAAATATTATTTTATTCAGAAAAATCGTTTATTTGTCAATTGTCAAATAATAATTATTAATATAATAATATAATAATATAATAATTAATAATATTAATATATTAATTAACAATATTTATTTTTATTAAATAATTATTAGAGTCAATTAAATGGTATTTTTTCAAATAGTAAAATTTGGTTCAAATATAGTTTATTTAATTTTAATAATTATTTGGCTCAGATAAATATTTATTTGATTATTGATAAGTAATCAATTATTTAAATGAAATAAATTTTGTTTTCGGTTATATTACCAGAATTATTGATTTACTATTTTTTTTTAAATTTTAATTATTTTTATTTTCAAATTAACCAATTTTAATTTAAAAATACATCCTCTACGAAGGAGAAGGTGGGAAAAATTTGTTAATTTTCTCCTGAGTGGGAATAGTTTGCCCTTCAAAAATCTGTATAATTTAAATATGTCGCTGATAGTCAATACTTTCATAGGTTTCTCTTTTTCACGATTCATTGAGCATCTGTCAAGCTTGTCAAAAATTTAAGTTTTGCAAACGATCACATAATGATCGCAAAGAAGCAAAAAGAATAGTAAATATATATATATATATATATTATATATCTCGACTAAAATAGAGATCAGATGTTAAATAGTTTCTTTGAGTCAATTTATCTTTTATCTTTCCTTTTATTATTAAGACAAGAGAAAAAACAGATTCCCTCTCTCTCTCTCTCTCTCTTTCTCTAAGTTGAAACACACGTCGAAGACATAGCGATAACTGTCATTAATGTTACTCTTTGATCCCATACCTATATGCGGTATCATATTCATGGGAAGGTTGCAGAATTTTCAATAATAAATAATAAGAAATTAATGGAGAAGAAGCTGGTCGTTTGTTATTCCCTGATTACTTTCACTGGTCGGTTTCTCATATTAGTTTCAATCATTTCTATATATATTTCCTAAAAGTTCATAGGGTGAACGATGTTTCTCTCTCTCTCTCTATATATATATAATATACATGTTGATAAATTTTAATCTTTTTTTAAATTCCAAGAATTTTTGATCGTTTCTCTGAAAAAATGATCTTTTTCTCAAAAAACGTGATTTTATGCCAAAAAATTGCATTCACGGAAAAAAATCTTCACCTTAAACAGCGATAAGTTTCACTGGAACAGCGATATATTTTACTAAAATAGCGAAAGTTATCGCTATTCTAGAGAAACGTATAGCTGTTCCAGATAAAGATTTTCTTCCTTGTTTCATTCAAAAAACGTTTATTAAACAAAAATATTAATTTAGAACTGAAAAAGTAACTAAACCAATTTATTTCAATTTTAATTGTGTTACTAATAAATTATGGTACCAATTAATGGAATTACCAAATTATGGTGGTACCAATCTCTGGTGGTACCAATCTCTGGTGGTACCAATCTCTGGTGGTACCAATCTCTGGTGGTACCTATTAATGGTGGTACCAATCTCTGGTGGTACCAATCTCTGGTGGTACCAATCTCTGATGGTACCAATCTCTGGTGGTACCAATCTCTGGTGGTACCAATCTCTGGTGGTACCTATTAATGGTGGTACCAATCTCTGGTGGTACCAATTAATGGTATTACCAAATTATGGTGGTACCAATCTCTGGTGGTACCAATTAATGTCGGCATCAAACTATAATAGCACCTAACATTAGTGGCACCAAAACTATGATGGTAATGTAATGTAAAAAAAAAATTAATTAATTAGTTAGTTATTTTTTATTTAATTAAAAAAAACACGATTAACATTTAATTTTTTCAATTAGCGATTTTTCGAAAACATCTAAAAAAAAATTGTAGGTATCGATTTTACCGACCGGTGATATTGATAAATTGGTCGATAACAGTCCCTGCGATTTATCATCGATCGTTACTTACCGACATTTTGATCGATATCACTGATGGTAAGTTAGATATCTAGAAATTTTTTTTTCTTTTCCAGTTTAATCATTCAAAAAAAAAGGGAATTTATTTTCTAAACTATTAATTTATTTCAAGAAAGTTGAAATAAATTATTTTTCTATGATTTTTTGGAGTTTTATAAAATATTAATATTAATTTCGAATAGTCCAGTTAGTGGCGACGCCAAACGATTTAACTTTCAAGTTAGTGAAAGTTTTGCGATCGTAGAAATCTTTTGAACCGACAGCGGTACACAGTCATGCAAGTAGTAACAGCCATTTTTGATCAGACACTGAATGTGATGATTTTTAACAAATTTTTAATATTCGACGTAATCATAAATATTAATTTATTTTTTTATTATTTATTATTTATTTACAATAATCAGTAGTTAGGTCAGTTATAGTCAGCCATTATTTATATAATAAAGTAAATTGTTCAAAAATTAAAAAGTGAAAAGTTTGTTACTTCAAAATTTAAATTTTTTTTTCAATTTTCAGTAGTATAGATCACGTTTAGTCAGACAGGCATTATTTATTAATAAAATAATAAAATAAATAAGTTTAAATAAAATAATTTAAAAAATTTGTTTAATTTAAATTAATTTAAAAAATAGTAGCAATGAAAATATAGTTTCACAAAATATTAATTGCTTTTGTTAGAAAATAAATTTTCCAGTAGTACAGGTAAATTATAGTCAGACAATGTTGCGAATTGTGAATAACTTTTTTGCTACTTTAATTAAAATTTAAATATTCGAAAAATAAATTTTATTTTTTAATTGAAAAAATAAATCTTTTATAATTTACATTAACAAGTAGTAAAATCCGTTTTTTGTCAGTCAGTGGCAATTAAGTAGTAAATGTCAAATTCTAGTCAAACGAATGTTTTTATTAGGCAAATAATAAAAATTATAAAAATAAAAATATTAAAAATAATAAAAATAAAAATATTAAAAATAATAAAAAATAAATAATAATAAAAATAAATTATTTAAGAACTGTAATTGTAAATAATAAATTGTTCAACGATTGTTCGACTAGACAAAACATTTATTTATAGAAATTCTTTACATGGTTTTTTTTTAAAGTAAATTATCAGATTTCTGATAACATTGAACCGGCAAGTGTAAGTAAAAGTTTTTTTTCTTTTCTTTTTTTTTTTTTTTTTTATTTTTACACATCCTACATATATACAATCAAGTTGAATGGAAGTCAGTAGATTAGTAATCGTTAAGAGAGAAAACTCGATTCGTTACTTACCTGACGATAGAACTTATCTGCAGGAGTACCGTTTTCGTATCAATTCGAAACTTTCAAGAATTATTCCAAAGTGTGTCCTCGATTTTTTTTCCTCTTTTTCTTCGTCAAGTTTCACCTAACTATCTATCAAGTTTTTGTCGATTTTGTTTTTTTGTGTCTCTAAACTTTTTTTTTTATAAGAAAAAATGAGAATAGACTCATTATCTATTTAGACTTTAATAGACAAAAGTGAAAAAGAACATTATTCTTATAATTTTTTTTAATATTAATATTTAATATATATATATGCCATTGTTTTGTACCACTATTATTTGGTACCGCCATTAATTGGTACCACAATGTATTAGTAACACAATTAATTGGGTACCACAACGTATTGGTAACATAATTAATTGATACCACCATAGTTTGGTACCATCATAGTTTGGTACCACAATAATTTGGTACCACATTGTATTAGTAACACAATTAATTGATACTCTCATAGTTTGGTACTACCATAGTTTGGAACCACCATAGCTTAGTACCACCATAGCTAGGTGCCACCATAGTTTGGTGCCGCCATAATTTGGTACCACCATTAATTGGTACCACCATTAATTGATACTGTTATTAATTAGTACCACCATTGATTGGTACCACAATGAATTGGTAACACAATTAATAGGTACTATCATATTTTAGTACTACCATAGTTTGGTACGACTGTAGTTTAGTACCACCATAGTTTGGTACCACGATTAATTGGTACCACAATTAATTAGTACTGCCATAGTTTATTACCACCATAATTTGGTACCACCATAGCTTGGTACCACCATAGTTTGGTGCCGACATAGTTTGATACCACCATAGTTTGGTGCCGCCATAGTTTGATACCACCATAGTTTGGTGCCGCCATAGTTTGCTACCACCATAGTTTGGTGCCGTCATAATTTGGTACCGCCATTAATTAGTACCACCATTGATTGGTACCACCATAGTTTGGTACCACCATACTTTGGTACCACCATAATTTGGTACCACAATGTATTGGTAGCACAATTCATTGATACTATCATAGTTTGGTACTATCATAGTTTGGTACTACCATAGTTTGGTATCACGATTAATTGGTACCACCATTAAATGGTACCACGATTAATTGGTACAACAATGTATTGGTACCACTATAGTTTGGTACCACCATAGTTTGGTACTATAATAGTTTGGTGCCGCAATTAATTGGTACCATCATAGATTGGTACCACAATGTATTAGTAATATAATTAATTGGTACCACGATATTTCGGTACCACCATTAATAAATATTTATTTGCCCTAAGTAAAATATATGAATAATAAAATTTGTCGGTGAACTTTAAAAGAGTAGAAATTGCATTTTGTTATTTTATAATGTCATTGCACTTTGCAAGCGCCACAAACGCCTTTACTTCAACTCTCACGTGTATTGCGACATAAATATTCGTAAAAGAGTGAGGGAGAGAGAAACAAAAGAAATGACATTACGCATGTGGTTCATTATACGCGTAGGTGCAAAAAGGAAAATAAAATTTTTTTTTTTTTTTAACGTACCAAACACAAAGTAGGTTAACACACGTTTAAAGTGGAACAAAAA